GAGAGAGAGAGAGAGAGAGAGAGAGAGAGAGAGAGAGAGAGAGAGAGAGAGAGAGAGAGAGAGAGCGAGAGTTACCACTGTTCAACAAGTTGCTTGGCATGCTTATCATCCTGTTTGCTGAAGTCATTTGCCCAGGCCATGAAGACTGCAATGCTGCCTGATAACACATCACCCTGACCACCACACCTTCTTGGGCTGCCAAACATTCCACAGTCCAGGACTACAACAACATTCAACCATCAATTGATAGGAGTCAGTAGTCCAAATTGCACCTTCAGGACATCAGTGCAATGGAGACTCAATCGGCATCCACAAAGAAAGCACCACACAAGCCTCAACACTTCCATCCCAACTGCAGAAATCAGCATCGCAACAAACAGTTGAATGAGTGGATCCCACACCTCAATCGGGAGCTCATCGCCAGGGCCAGCAGAGTTGCATAGAGGTGCAGGCACTTCTTCTCACGATCTTCTCCAACTTCCTGGTTTTCCTCCACATCAACTAATCAGTAATACACAATCCAATTTTCACTGTCACTTCAGACAAAGACCAAATAACCTCAAGATGCTTACTCGCTTTTCCAAAGACCAGACCTACTCCTCTTTGGTCACAATCAAATCTTCACCTGCCTATTCCGGTTCTCCCACATTGTTGCCATATTTCTGTGGTGGCATGCTTGCAAATGTCTCTTGCCACTGGGTATGGTAGGTTATCGGTGTGATGGAGGTTTTCGGTTTGGCACAGTTTGGATGAACTGACTTTAATAGGAATGGTGAAAATGTATGTTGAACTACTATTTTCAAAATTTCCACATGTATTTTGTCTTTTCTTCCCTGGCACCTGACTGTGAAGCCACAGCTCTCTCCTCCTCTTGCATAGCGCTGCTCCTTCTCCTCACCTCCAAGTAACTTGCAGAGTCTTTATTACACTGACAATTTTTCCGTAAGCCCCACAATGTTACCAGGTGCCCACACATAGTCATCCAAGGCAAGCAATGCTAATGGTGGGCAGTCCACCATGTCAGAGTAAACTGCCTTCAACACAAACCTTGGCACAGCATGAAAAAACAAAAGGATGCATTATAACAGTCAGCTCTATGGCTTGATTGTGAACACATGTACCTGTTGATTAAAGATCATGAGTTGAGTTCCCATCCTGATGGATACAATAATGTTAGGGGCTAAGTTAACCCCCCTTTCTTTGAAAAAAAAAGAATGCATCCTCACCATTGTCAATTGCTCCACCAGACAGACAGCTCATTCTGGAAGCACAAGAATCTTGTGTTGATGATGCCTCAAGTTTATGAAGGAAAACGGCCGGTGGCCACAAGCGGTTATCGGGTAGCTGAAAATTCAGGAATGAAAATTCTGAAGTGAGAGTTTTGGGCAGTCTAAAAATCCTGAATGGTCCTGAAGTGGTGAAAGGTCCGAAGACCCTGAAAAACACCTGTTTAGGCAGGTTGCATCCTAAAGTGGTGAAGGGTGTCCTGAAGTGGTCAAGTGAGAGTTTTGGGCAGTCTGAAAATCCTGAATGATCATGAAGTGGTGAAAGGTCCGAAGACCATGAAAACCACCCTTCACCACTTGAGGATGCAGCCTGCCTAAACAGGTGGTTTTCAGGGTCTTCGGAGCTTTCACCACTTCAGGACCATTCAGGATTTTCAGACCTGAATGGTCCTGAAGTGGTGAAAGGTCCGAAGACCCTGAAAACCACTTGTTTAGGCAGGTTGCATCCTGAAGTGGTGAAGGGTGTCCTGAACTGGTGATGAAAAATACGACTGTTGTTAACCTTCTCTCGACTGACAGACAACTCACTCTGAAAGCAAAATGATCTTGGGTTGATGATGCCTCAAGTTTATGAAGAAAAACGACCAGTAGCAGCTCATAGTGCATTTTGCCATTCTCCTCACATGCAGGTAACTATTATTGCATGGCTCTAAATCCACATTTTGACAAGAACAAGCAATTGTTGTCATGTTCCGCACACCTTCAAAATCAACCCCTCTCATGGAATTGTACACACACGACTTGGCAAATGGACTGATGGGCTGGCAATTCTTGAAAGTCACTACACCAGACAATTTAAATTAATAAATTAATCAATTAATCACTTGACTAAATATGGTAAACAAAAAAGATAAACAATCAATGAAACAAATCCAATCAGCTGAGCGGGCTCAGCCCATTTGTTCGCCACAAACTAATGGGCAGGCAATCACGCACGCAGTAATCCATAGCTCAAAGCAGCTTCGTCAACTGTTGCATAAACCTTGCTTTGCACTGTTTACACAGCGTATAGCATCAACTTTAGTGGCATGATTTTGACACAGTGCTGTTCTGTGTAGAATGTCTTATAGAGTGACCACCAAGAGTACTAGCACAAGACCGCAGGTGAAGGTAGTACCTGAGTGGCCATCGCTGATGTGATCCGTTGGCCCTTTTTGTACAATTGTTATGTGGCCCAATCTGTATGTGCACGCACACAAACAACCACGCACACATGCATGTCCAGGGGTGAGAGAGAGAGAGACACCAAGCGAGAGGGACTGAAGGGGGGGAGGGGCAGAAAACGAGAGAGAGAGAGAGAGAGAGAGAGAGAGAGAGAGAGAGAGAGAGAGAGAGAGAGAGAGAGAGAGAGAGGGAGGGCTCTGGGGGCCCTGGGGACGTACAGAGTCATACATCAAGCTGAATTTCCTATGTCTGGAAACATGCAAGGCCAGTTTTTTATTACGTCGGCCAGTTTTTTATTATGTCCAAGTCATGAACTATGCAAGGAATCAGGGGGGACAATCACAACACCAAACCAGAGGAGTCCCAACTGGATAATGACAATACTGGTACTGCAATTTGAAAGGCAAATGCATGTGAAAGGCAGGCGACTCAGCCATGTGGACCCTGGAGACCCAAGCAACGACTACATTAGCCTTTAGGGCCAAACAAGGAGGGGGCAAGTAACGATTGGTTGCTGATAGACATTCATGATATAGCAGATCCGGGTACAACAACAAACAGAGTGGACAGAGGCAGCAGGGCCCAGGTATCTGCTAAGCAGAGTCCGGTCCGTGAAATCAGGGTCATATAGAACGATTGTACAATCTACTGCCCCCCAGGAAGCCGATTCAGGACTTGGAAGTAGACCCGAGGGGGAGCCTGGAGTGTGGCTTTAACGTTAAATTTACTCCAATATTTAACCAGGCTAGGCGATAAACTCACACATAGTTCCATCTCAGTGGAGGTTATTTTGGGTGAAAGATTTTGTTTTCCCCTCTTTCTTTCAGAATCATAAGTGCTGCAAAATTACAGTCTCCATCAGCAGAAAGCTTCGCACCACACTTTGCGCCGAAACAGCAAATGATTGCAGCTATATGGTCAGAGCATATCAATATCAGTTTCGTCAGAGAAATTTCCATGAGGATCCACCCTGGTTTCCAATGGTTAATATTAACTCAATAACCTATTTGGCAGTACCAGTCAATTTTTTTTTACTTTTTTTTTTCTTACAAGAAAACTCAGCTCATTTCATTATCACAAAAGGGAGACCGGGAAAACCTCCAGAAACAACCCGGAGCAAAAATCTGGGACCATTACCCAGCTTAGGTGCAGGCGATGGGGTGTGTCCAGGCAAACAGAAGTGGCCACTGTCCTGACATTCCCCATCCCTGGTACCACTTAATTTCTGGTTGAACACGCGCAGGAGGCGAGAGTTGAGGAACAAATCAAATGAATTATGCGCGGTACGCGAGGACGGAGCGGTGCAAACTGTAGGTCATTGCTTCCTGTCGTACCCCACGGCTATAAGCAGATATGGGAGAGATCGGAACGGTTATGGCACCAAGTGACTGGGAAACCACTACCTCCGGGTCCTCTCTGTCTACTGGCAGGTTTTACATTTCCAAGTCATTGGGCCGACTTTGAACATACTGCATGGGTCCTGGGGACCATCTCACGCAAGTGTGTAAATGCCATGCATCGTACTCCCACACACAATGAACAGYAATCTGACAATAGACAAAGATAGAGAAGATGAGGACCGAGTTTCA